CTAACAGCTTGCTCTTCTTTTAAAAATTGACTTTATGTATAAGAGCACCTGCTTAACTGCAGAACAGATTTGTTAAGAACATATTATTGCCAAAATGGGTAAAGCACATGGGCTAATCTTTCCAGCACTTTCCAAACAAGTCACACTCACAGTATGAAGCATTTGTACACTAGAATACCAGCTGATCAGTCAATTGTTAAGTGTATTTTAATCTAATAGTAATACTATATCAGATTCCAAATGCAACTCAAAAGGCTGTAAAAATTCAAATAATGATACAGTTACAAAATGGCTGGCAGCTGTTATAAAAGATTTATAAACTCCTATTTTTATATCTAGAAACATAACTCAGCTTCTAACCCAGTGTTTCTCAATCTTGACAATTTTAAGGCATGTGGACTTCAACTCCCAGAATTCCACAGCCAGCATTGCTGGCTGTGGAATTCTGGGAGTTGAAGTCCACATGCCTTAAAATTGTCAAGGTTGAAAAACACTGTAAAATCTAACCCCTAAATCAGTGTTCCTTAAGTGTGGCAATTTAAAGCTGCTTGGACTTCAACTCCTAGAAAGGAACATGCTAGCTGGGGAATTCTGGGAGTTGAACTCCATACAGTTTAAAGTTGCCAAGCTTGAAAACACCACCCTACATATACAAAGTAAATTTTCAGAGACAGCATTCCATTCCATAACAACAAACACTGAGACTCATACACTGGATTTGCACTCCTAAGACGTCTACTAACTTCAGACTTGGAAATTACAAATGTATGAAAATTGTTGTATTAATCTATTGTATATTATCAGAGTTTTTGCCAATCATTTGGATGATACTCTCTTTTGGACCATATAATAAGTTGAATACACTGTTTTTAGTCATGCCTGAGAATAGAATTCTAATTTAGATGTGAGGTGGGTTCTGTAGAGAAACATAAGCAATTACCTGAGGCAAGAATGCTCTGTATTGATTCTATGAACCAATGTTTGGATATATTAAAAGTAAGTCTGCCTACCTATTTTCCAAGCTTTGATAAATCAATGTCCTTTCTCAACTCTCCTCTTGATATTTATCTTAAACATTTCCATGGAGGAATATAGCTATGTGAAACTGATTTGCTTCCATCTGTAGCAGTGGTTCTCAACCTGTGGGTCGGGACCCCATTTGGGGTCGAACGACCATTTCACGGGGATCGCCAAACAAGGCTGTCCGCCATTTTTTCCCCCTTTTCTTTGGCCACACCCCTGGCACCCGGTGATGTATAAGTGGTTGGGGGTCACCACAACATGGGGAACTGTATTATGGGGTTGCGGCATTAGAAAGGTTGAGAACCACTGGTCTATAGATCTGAGTTGTGTAAGCATCATCTGAAGTGCTCCCTTCTCTCCTTGTAACTCCTCTTTCCTGATTCACAGCAGACTACCATTTATTGTTAAGTTTTCCCCTTCAGATCCAGTTAGGAAGCTTGAGTTAAAGAATAACTTTTTAAATTAACCATTTCAATCAATTCCTACTACACCTTTACTAGGAATACAAGCCTACCTTAAAGAAAAGTTATAAGGATTTCGACAGTCAGGATTTGTTCTGAGTTTGCCAAAACAGGAAGCTGAAGTTAATTATCTCAGGAAGGATTCAGGTATTGAATGCCAAAAGGGGAATGGAAAGGGTCTGTTTGAAAAGGAAGACAATGTGAACTGGACAGCCACGGCTAAGTGCTGGCAGCAGTCCTTAAGACTGTGACATTTGGGGAAAGCATGCACTGAAAGCGCTGCCAAACTCAGCCAGGATTATCCCATTCACATGCTATGTCTCTCAAACATGGCGCATGATGATCAGAACTGGTTATATGGAAGATATAACATAAACTAAAATGTCTTTAGATTTTCACAAGCCTAGAGGTTTAGATTCAATTCCAAAACAGAGCTTTGGAATACATGTGGACACAACTGAAGCTTTAAAAAGTTGAGAAAAAGGATAGATGCATTAAAAAGCTTCAAACAGATGGCTGCATTAATATATACTCCAAAGCTGCTTTTTTGAAACTGAACCTGAAGCTCTGAACAGTTTTAATTTCTACACAGTCTCAAATCTTACTATTTCTCCCACCCACCCACCCAAAATAATGTTGCTAAAAGACAAGTTTTCTTAATAGCATTATAGCCTTCCTCTTGTTTTTCTCTTAAAAACTGAAAGAATACTTTAAAAATACTAAATGCTAGCCTCAGGTTCGTAAATTTTATGTCAAATAATTCATATTTTTAGGAAACAGTTACAGCCATTCCTGGCTCAACTTTGCAAAAAGATTCTGTGATCAGTTCTTAACGCTGGTGTGCAAACAATGACAAGCGTCACTGTGTTAATCATCTGTTTCCATTATTAACATAATTCTTTGTTTTATTATTATCTTACACAAGGGGAATAGACACATTTTTAAATACCTAACTGATAAAAAGTCTGAACTGGACCTTGTGAACTGGCATTAAACCAAACCTTCTGGCTTTGAGGTTTTGGAGCTATTGCCTCTGATGCTCCTGGAGTAGCTGATGGAAAGGCTGGAGAAATCAAGCGTATCTTCTGCAATTGGCTAACGATCAGGGTTGCATTCTTGAACAGGCAAATAAATTCCTGCCTAAAGTCTGTGATTATAAAGTGTTGTATAACTGGCCATTTTCCTTTCAGATTTTCCAGCTACAAAGAGCTCTTCTCAAAGACCATGATTTTTAGAATAACATTTTTATGCTAAATAACGTATATTATTTTTCTCCATGTTAATTTTAAAGCAATATTTATGTGTAATGTGAAATACTGTGTGTGTGTGTAGGTGTATTGTGAGGCATCAAAACTTCTAAAGTTTTCCAATGATCTAGAATAGGGTTTCCCAAACTCCCATGGGGTGACGCAGACAGAATCCAGAGAAGGTTTGAAGAATCTTTTAGTTATACATTTTTGCAATAAATCTACACTAGTATCTTGTCTCCTTCATGGATTACTGCCTTGTCATGGGGAAGGGGCTTGCATAACTCAATGAAGCTATGAGCTATGCCACCCAAGACGGACAGGTCATAGCAGAGAGTTCTGACAAAATGTGATCCACTGGAAAAGGAAATGGCAACCCACTCCAGTATCTTTGCCATGAAAACCCCATGAATAGTGCCTGAAGGAATGTTGTCCATGGGTCACAATGGGTTGACACAACTTCGCAATTAACAACAAGTATCTTGTAGAAGAGGCTCGATTTTTGTTGGTTTTTTTGTTTTTATTATAAATAAATTTTCACTGTTTGAAATATAAACAGTATTGTTTATATTGCTCATTTGTGTTTGTTTTGATATTTGGGTTTTTAGAGAAGGTTTGTACATTAAAATAACATTAAAGAGAGTGAGAAAATGTAAAACCTCTTAATAGCATCAAGCAGAAAAAAAGTTACAGGTGAAACTACTGGGCTGTCCATGATTATCTCTATGATTTCTTATTTATGCATTCAATTTCTAAGACCACAACTTCTAGAAGATATGATAACAGATAAGACTCTGTGATTACCATTAGACGTATTTCACATATATTTTCAGTTTTTAAAATTCCTAACATTTACTAGACATCCAGCTTATTTTTCTTGCTACAACTGAAGACAGAAACTAGAATGAGTCATTAGTCCAATAAAGTTGTGTTTTAGGGGGGTTCATGTGTTGGGACACGCACTGTGTTTCCAACTCAGAAATTTTGGACATTTGTACTAGACTGTTCAAGATCAGCCATGGTTTGAGGAACAAAAAGCTGGACCACTTTCCTTTCTCTGCATTTTGGATTAAACAAAATCTGGGTGGGCAAGTAGAGCAAGTGTGGTGTCCACTGCCCCCACTCTTCCCTTAGGAACTTCCAGGATTGCATAACCAGCATCTATCTTCCAGCACCTTCCCTCCCTCAATCCACTGTCACCAACATCCCAGTGTGATAGAATGATATATCACATCAGTCTTATCTTCTACCCTTTTCCCAGTAGCTTCTCTGTGCTCTGTAGTGTTCTTGGCTTTTTCTTGTTCCTCTTTCAAATCTTCTCCCTGAAACAAAACAGCCACCTTTGTTCTAGGCACAGACCAAAAAGCACCCAAAACATCAAGTTTTGGCTTGCCCATACTCCTTGAACCTAAGCATTTTAAATATGGGACCATTCAAAACCAAAATCTCTACTCTTTCTTAGTGTTCTTGCTTCTGAGATATACCTGCAATTTATACTAGTAGGATAAACCTCTGTGCTCCATCAAATGCTTCAGGCAGAAAGGAGGCAGAGAACATTTGCTAAATGCTGAGTTATACACACAGAAGAAGAAGAAAAAAAGCAACACGGATTGACCATGCAAACTGTTTCTAAGAGGAAAAAGCTTACTACAATGCACAGTATTGTCAATCAAATTGTACATCCACTCCACAAGTGCTGTGTCCACCAGGGTCCCCTGTGAAACCATCTGCTTTGCATACTCTGACATTTAAGGAAACTGGTTTCCCTAAGCAGTTGACATATAAAGAGTGAAACATCTGACAACTACAGGTGTGGTATTTCCCCTTGAGTCAACACACATGCCACACAGAGAGGAAACCTTGCCTTCAAATTGATCACACTTCTAGGTAATCTTTCTCCTACTTAGAATCTACGTGGCATTTCTTTCGAAACGGCTATTCATGGATTTCACCTGCAATCATAGGCGCAGCTTCTTCGAAAGGGAGCCCCCCCCCCGCGCCCTCAAACTGCCCGGGAAAAGGCCTTCCTTTGGAATAAGGGAATCGCGTCCCCAGTTTGCAAAGCCCAGGAAGGAAAAATGCCCGGCCAGCCCTCGATTTAACCAGGTTAGCATTTCAGCATTCCTAATCAACTCGACTAACTCTTCGAAGGGCTTCCAAAAGGCCGTTGCTGGCAAGCGAGCCAAAACCCGTAGGCGTCCCCTCTTAAGGCAGAAGAAGCCCCGCTCCGGCCACGTTCTCTCGGCTCTTCTCCCTGGTCGTCGGGTACCTGGTGCGTCTCCTCGCCGTGCTCCAACTGAACGATCCCCTGACTCCTGCCTTCCGTGTCGCTCAACAAGTCATCCTCGGAGTCCTCGAAGACCGACGACGAGCCCGTGGAGGAGAGCGAGGACGTCGAGAGCCGCCTGGAGGATTGCAGCAGATGCAGCGAACTGTCCGTCGTCAGCCAAGCCCCGTTCGGCTCCGTCGGAGGCAGCATGGCAGGGCTGCGCTGCGCCTCTCCGCCGTCCTCCTCCGAAGTTACGGTCAGCTGCGGAATAACCGCCTGCAGCACCCCATTGCGGGGCCGGCAGCTCTTCCCGGCAGGCTCGGGCAGCTGCCGGCTGGCCATCGCGCAGCGAGCCTCGAAGAGCGAGCACAGCTCTCCCACGCTCAGCTGCCTCCTCCGGCCCAGCTCCGGGCTGCTCCCGCCGCTACTGTCCTGGGCTTCTCTGGACTCCATGGGGAAGGCGAAGGCGCTAGCGCTGCCGCCGCTCTGGGCGCCGCGAAGGGTGCAGGGGGCCGAGCCGCCCAGGCGGAGAGTCCGGGGCAGCGAAGCGCTTGGGCGACTGCTCCTCCTGGCACCTCCGTGCCGGTAAGCAGGCGTCTGAAAAGGGCTCGGGCTGTCGCTGCATGGCCGGCCCGCGCCCCGTCAGGCCGATCCCGCCGTCCTCTGACTCATCCCCGGGAAACTGCTCGAGTTGCTTAACCGCCCCTCAGCCTGACCCATATGGGTAGATGGCGCGGCTGCCCCACGCTGCTGCTCTCGGGCGGCATACGCAACCGGGAGAAAGGCGGAGTCTGGAATGTGCGTAAAGGGCCCGCCCGCCCCGCTCGCTCCCTCCCACACGGAGCCTTTGCTCTTGTTTGTTTTGAGGTAGCGTTCGCCTCGCCTCCCTTTGCCTCTCCCCCCCCCCCTCTCTCTCTCTCTCTCTCTCTCAACGAAACCTGGAAATTTGTCGCCAAATTCGGCCGATTTATATATATAAAAAAAAGGACAAGCGTTACCCAGCAAACCGCAGACCTGTCAGGGAAGCAAGTTTCTCTCGGCTCTGCAACTGCTTGGCGCCGCCTTCCCCTGGGCTCCTGGAACGGTGCAAAGTACGGCTGGTTTCCCTCGCGTGTTGCACGCACTCGTCTCGCAAACGTCCTCCCACAAGGTGTGTTTTACAAATGCCAGGAATGGAAAGGAACCGTAAGATGCAGTTATGAGAAGCGAACGAGTCATAGTCGCTGTCCCTACCCGCTTCAAGTGGCCTACCCTACCCGCGGCACTTGAGTTGTTTAAAACTCCGTCTGTTCCGTCCTGTGGTGCTTTGCAGACAGTGCCGGATTTAACTCCCAAAATACCCTAGAAAAGCGGAGGCGAATAAAATGGTACCTTATTTCTTCTGTGCAAGTAATTAAAATTGGGGCACTTTATTAATAAATGCAACATCAAATGTAGCATGAAATCAATAATAAAATAAAGAATGAAACACATAGGCATATGCATCCTTGCTCCTTTGGGTGGTCTTCCCACTTGGGAACCCTGCAATTTTACTACTGTATATGCAATTGTACCCAGAGGTCTACCACCATTTCAGTTTCCTAACAGAACAATTAACCAGTGGAACAGCTTGCTTTCATTCAGAAGTTGTGGGTGCTTCATTACTGGAGGTTTTTAAAAAGAGACTGGACAGCTACATGTCTCAGATAGGGTCTCCTGCTTGAGTAGGGGGTTGGACTAGAAGACCTCCAAGATCCCTTCCAGCTCTATTCTGATTGAAGTAAGCTAGTACTTCACCTCCACCTCCGTTCTGGGTGTCTGAATATGTCTTCCCCCTTCCAAATGAAAGAGTTCCCCTTGGAGAAGGCAGTTAAACTCTCACCACCTGTTCTTGGGGAGGGGAGGGGGAGATGTCTCTTCCATTTCTCTGGAATTTGGATGAGGCAAAACTAGATTCATCTGTCCCCAGTTTTAAGCAAAAGGTTCTAATTTTTCCCCTTTAAGCTGAACACTTGTTTTGGACTGCATGTATGATGCTACCACAAACCTAAGGTTGGGTGAGGGCTATCAGATCTGGGCTGCAAATTCCCACAGGACCCCTAGGTAGAAGAGGAGGAGGAGGAGGCGGAGGGGGAGGAGGAGGAGAAGGAGAAGGAGAAGAAGAACTGAACGTTAGCTGCCATTTAGTGGTCTTGGAGAAAATCTAAGTAGGTAGTCTCTAGAGGCCAACACAAACTTGATGGCTCACATAATCATCTGATAATCAAAAACCAGATCTGCGAACAGCTAGAAGCAAACAAAATTATAACTGGTAGCCAGCATGGGTTTGTTAAAAACAGATCATGCCAAACCAAGCTTATTTCATTCTTCGATAAAGTGACCAACTTAACAGACTAGCGAAACTAAGTATATATAGTATACTTAGATTTCAGAAAGGCATTCAACAAAGTAGACCACAATCTACTGCTTAGTAAGTTAGAAAAAGGTGGAATAGACAACATCACCACCAGATGGATTTGTAGCTGGCTGACAAACGGTACTCAACAAGTAGTACTCAGTGGTACTACATCCACATGGAGAGAAGTAAGCAGTGGGTACCACAAGGCTCCGTCTTAGGCCCAGTACTCTGCAATATTTTCATTAATGACTTAGATGAGGGAATAGAAGGGAACTCATCAAATTTACAGATGACACTAAACTGGCAGGAATAGACAACACCCCAGAAGAAAAGCTCAGGATCCAAAAAGATCTTGATAAACTTTGTTGGGCCCTATCCAACAAAATGAGTTTTAATGTTGAGAAAAGCAAAGTTTTACATTTTGGCAGAAAAAAGTCAAAGATATGAGTACAGATTAGGTGAGACAGTAACAGTAACTGTGAGAGGGACCTTGGAATCCTAGTGGATGATCACTTGACTATGAGCAAGCAGTGTTCAGCATCAGTCAAAAAAACTAATATCCTGATGTCATGTGTCTGACTAATGAAACACTTCAAAGAACTTTCAGGCATGGTTTAACCTAAAAAGTTTTTTATTAGTGTAGAGGGGTGTCAGCACAGCATGGTGGATGCCAAGATCTGAATTTCCCTTCCTTTGCACATAACATTCCAAGCATTTCCCCTCCCCTATTTTGGGGTCATGATTCACATTTTCCAATTAACCTGGAGGGCAAAGATTCTTTTTTTTATTAATTATACAAAATTAAAAACACATTGGACATAGATATGACATCACTGGTTCAATACATCTTCCAACATTTTTCAATAGTATTAGTACTTGAGGGCAAAGATTCACTTCCCTTCCTTTTCCCGGGCTTTCCTTATAATTCTCCTCCCCTTTCTCTATCATCTGAATTAACTTCAAAAATAGCAGACAGTTCTGCATATTTTGTCAAAGCAAGAATATTCAATATTAGCAGCGTTGACACCTGGGTTGTACAGAGGCATAGAATCAAGATCACGTGAAGTATTACTACAGCTTTATAAAACCCTAGTAAGACCACATCTGGAATGCTGCAACCAATTTTGGTCATCATACTATAAAAAAGATGTTGAGACCTTGGAAAAAGTTCAGAGAAGAGCAACTAAGATGATCAAAGGCCTGGAGACTAAAACATATGAAGAACGGCTGCAGGACTTGGGTTTGGCTAGTCTAAAGAAAAGAAGAAATAGGGGTGACATGATAGCAGTATTCCAGTATTTGAGGGGCTGCCACAAAGAAGAGGGGGGTCATACTATTTTCCAAAGCACCAGAGGGCAGGACAAGAAACAATGGTTGGAAACTGATCAAAGAGAGAAGCAACCTCGAATTAAGGAGAAACTTCCTAACAATGAGGACAATTAACCAGTGGAACAGCTTGCCTCCAGAAGCTTGCCTTAGCTGTGCTACTCCCTTTTATTCTATTGGCTTTTGAAAGCCAATAGAATAGACTCTCTTGAATAGAGTCTAATTCTATTGGCTTTCAAAAGCCAATAGGAATTGTCCAGGCTGTATCTGCCCTGCTGAGCCCGCCAAAAGTCCCATTCTGCAAACGGTGCTGCACCAGTTGAGTAGTCCTTGACTTACGACCGGTTGAGTAGTCCTCGACTTACGACCGGTTGGGGGTCGCGACATTAAAAAGGTTGAGAACCACTGGGCTAGACAGTCATTTGTGTGAGATGGTATAGGTCCCCTTGCTTGAACAGGGGAGCTCCAAGACTTCCAAGGTCTGTTCTGTCCTGTCCTGTCGTATTCTTTCTAGTAGTCTCAAGTTTTGCAGTCCAGACCTGTTAGTTCTAAAACTGGAGTAGCAATGATTAAAAAGGTTTTATTTTTTAAAAAATACAACAGAGAGCCAGTTTAATCTAGTGATTAAGGCCCCAATCTAGAAACCAAGAGACTGAGTTTTAGTCCCGCCTTAGATATGAAAGGCATCTGAGGTCAATCCCTCAGTCCAACTCACCTCACTGGATTGTTGTGGAGAAAAGAGGAAGAGGAAACAATATTCAATATGTTCAGCACCTTAAGTTATAAATATAATTAAGGCAGGGTTAAAAAAATATTTAACAAAAACATCCTTAACTAAAGAGAAGAGAGTAATAATGTCATTTGAATCCCAGAACTGAGTGAACTGCTTGAGTCAATTAATTCTAATGCGTTAGATTTTGCCCCAAATAGACCAATTTCTCCTATTACAAAAACAACAAAACAGAGTGGGGTAGATATGACTTTCCTGATCCTGTCTATGGTGCTACAGCCATTGAACATCTCACTGCAGATGTAAAAATAAAAAAAAAGTAATGTTACTTCTCCAGCTTTTTCAGTGGCAACTTGGAAAACTAAAAATACGGTTACCATATAAGTGGCTGAGATATCCTGGATATGCAATGCTAGTGAGAGCAATCGAGCAATTGGCTGGGAAAGGAATTCTTGGCCAGCCAGTCTCTTTTTTATTACATTGTTTTCTTAATTCTTCATTCTATCATGACATCAAAGTAGGCTGCCAAGGAAAAGTCAAGATTCAAAACATTCCCTCGAAATTACAAAAATATACATCTCTGTCCTCGTTCTCAGTTTGTGTTCTCTAGCTATGCTGCATTAGAATTCCTAATTTCCTCAGTCACCAGGTCATTTGGCTAGTGATAGAAGAGATTGTGGAAGTTGTCCATTTCTTCTAGAAGATGGTAGCTGTCTTACATTATTCTTTTGATCAATGAAAGCAAGCAAATGGTAGTCTGACTGGTACAGTGAAGACCAAAAAAACTTTCATCCCTCGTTGATTTTATTTTAATGAAATATATTTTCTGAGTACTAAAAGAATAATTTCATTTTCATTTGTTCTTCTCCTCCTCCCCAGCAATGATACTTCATTTTTATTTGGGCCAAAATTTTAAGAAGCCTTGATAGGAAGAAGTTTATTGATGAAAGAGGAAAGTATATTAACTAGAGCAGAAATTCTATATAAGAAGGATTGCAATCGATAACAAAAGGTTAAATACTATTATCATAAGCAGCAACTGGAGCGTCTTTATCCATCTTTCTCTCAACAACTCAGAGTATCTGAACACAAAAGCCTACAGTCTTTAGATAATATGTACAGGGCTTAATTGAATAAAACGAGGCCATTCCATTTGAAATCAACTCTGTCTTGGCACTCCCTCATTCCAAACTATTACAAAATCTGATCCACTTCAGAAGTGGCTATGTACACATGATGCCATGGTTTATAGAATCATGTTTTATTAAGTAAATACAGTGATCGATTTTTAGAAGGCATTAAAACATGTATCATTATATACTGAGCACTGTAGATGCGACATCGCACTGAGATCACACCACATACCAAGTCAAAACTGCA